CATTGTTGTGTCTTGGTCAGACCCTTCGCCTTGAGCGCCTAGTAATGTAGAGACCTGAATAATTAGAATAGGGTTTGGGGGGATATTGCACTATAAAACCACCCAAAAAATATGTGTAATTATTAAGGCCCCTATAGTAGGTTCCAGTGGTAGATGGGAGATCCTGACTTCCGGAAATCCCCTAAACCCTAAACGCTCATGTAAGGGCCTTAATATTTGGTCTAGGATCTTGGGGTATATCATACATATATTTACAATAAGGACCCCCTGGGTAATCATGAAGGCCCTCAAACCCTAAACCTGCTTCCGCCCGAAGGTGTCTGAGGCACCGGCGAAATCGACACGTTTCCAGCCAGGCCTCTGCCATGACTCTTCCCTTGAGCCTCTGAGCAAAAGAAAACCCAACGAACAACCCCTACATGAACCCCAAAAGCATGTAGAATAATAGCCTTTTGGAGGTGATAGGCCATTATGTTACCTAGTTTTGGGGGTTTAGGTAAGAATGTGAACCATAAGCATATGACTCATGTTGGGGCTTTACTATGTCTATCTCCCAAATCTAGATCTTGCTAGCCGAATCCCATGAGTGGTCCACATAGGCCAAAATCCTCACCAGCTCCTAACCACCTGAGCTGCCAAGGTGTCGGAGGCCCACAGAAAGAAGTGCCCAAAGCGTTCTTCTAGCCAGGTTTGCTTTCTCTTTGGAGTTCTGGGAGTGGAGAAAGCCCTCACGGGAGTTCCGTTTGAGGGTTCAGGCCTGGGCTAAGGGCTCCAGAGGTGCGTAGCAATCGGTTCGAAGATCCACCACAGTCACATGAGCCCGGATCGGGACAATTTTAAACCCAGCGCCCCAAACTCCAAGAACCAGCCCAAAACCTGAAACCCTGAATCCTTAGCATGCATCCCTCTTATTGTTGAACCCCGTTCTTTCAAGTTTTATGAAAACCCTATGGCAGGAGACCCAGGCTCGCCTTTAAAAAAACGCCCTGCCGTCCCAGGAAAGCAGGCAGCCTAATACAGGGGCCTTAATAATTAGAATCGGGTTTGGGGGTCTTTTAAAGTCTAGTGATAAAAGGAACCCCCAAAATGTCGTAGGTAATTATTAAGTCTGAGACACGCGTTGGCTAGATTCTCAAACAGACTAGTGTTCGTAGGTGCAACTTAAAAAAAAACTACAGGTTCTGTAAGTCTAACAGAAAGGACTGCTGTGGCGCTTGTACTTCAGTATTTTTTGAAGGATCTGAAGCAGTGATACCCAGCCACGACAGATCTTTGCCCCTAGCCTAGAGCTTCCATAGATACGGATAAGAACTCATAAAGCTAACTGCCCAGACCCTACTATTGCACTTTTGGTTCCAAAGCAGAGAAGACCCAACTCGTGACCGTCCGGCCTGTACCGAAGGAGTAGGAGCGATTTGTGTCGCCTGCGAAGGCTACAGGGCATCGATCCCACGTCGACGTGGCATGACACACTAAAAGAAGTTGAAGCCTGCGTGTAGCTCTGATAGTAGTTCTCTAAATTAGGGTCCCTTTTAAGACCCCCAATATAGTACAGCACCCTTACAAAACGGACCCTAAAAGGGACCCTAGTTTAGAGAACTACCCCTATAAACTATAAAGGGTCGATTGGAGTTTTGAGCTCTGGATGCGTTGACTGAGCTCTGGAATTTTGGGACCTCTGTCATTTCGAACCCACCTTCCTTTCCCTTCCGTGCGAGTTTGGGGTATGGGGGGGGGGAGGGTGGGCCTCTGAGTCCCCCATGGAAGATGGAGGAACTTAAATGTCGTGATCAAGGCACGGCTTCTCTGACCTGTGTAGGCTCTCGGATTTGCTCAATATGGGGGTCTCCGAAAATAGGGGACCCTAATATAGTACTCTGAATTGTAGGATCCTTATTATAAGGACCCCAAGAATAAGGTACCCCGTCTTTTCGGAAACCTCCATCTATCCTCATCCAAAAGTGAAGCTGCCCCGTCACCAGTTGCAGGGCCGACAGATCCTCAAACCGCAACTCAAAAGCTGGAGACTTCAATGATTTGTTTGAGGCTTTATAGGCCTTGAGTTTAGGCTTGAGTCGGCTTGAGGCAAAGGGAGTTCGAGTGTTTGGTTTTGGGTGGTGGCGATGCCAGCATCTCCACAGCTCAACGCAATGGGATGAGGGGGGACGCTGCTGAGAGCCGACATCCGGCGCCTCCCGGCAAACTCGTAGACAAAGGGTTGGTGTAGCCTTCAACCTGCACACGACGCTCTAATCGCATGGAGTACCTGTGCCTAGTCTCAACGAATTCAAAACCCCGAAGCTGGAGCACTGGTTGCGAGGAACTTCTCACGGCAGAACTAGGACGAGGCTTTCCTGTGCAGGCGGCTGCTACGGGCACCGTGATGTGATTAGTTGTTACCCTCCTTTGTTCTTGATACTGTGTTCTCTGCTGTGATTCATCTTGTGATGCTAGATTTAGAAGCCTGGCACCTTGGACTTCACAGACCCCACTAGAGGAGGCATCAGGTTTGGCTTCGCAGCCTGATCACCACTGCTGCATCCTGCACCCTAGCTTAACCCATATTGCCCACCCGAACTCCTATGTAAACTTCAAACTCTGCACACGCACCAAAACAACACTACTAGGACAAACCATTCAATTACCAACGTACGAATACGACATTTCTGAGAGGATATTATGGAGTACGTTCGTCGCAGATGTTGAGGTTGTTCATTCAGTCGACCTTTATGCAAGAGGCCCTTCCATGCGAAAACACCTCAGACAGAAACTCCAAATTCTCGGAAGCCCTAAGCCCCGAGCAAAGGCCTTGGAGAACGAGTGACCTTGCAGAAAACCTTTCCCTAGATGCTCATAAGCCCCGCAATGTGGGGGCCCTAATAATCCGAATAAGATTTTGGGGTATAGTATACTCTACTCATAATAGGGAAGCCCCAACATAGTAGAGGTAGTGATAAAGGCCCCTATAGTACCCTCCAAACCCTTATGTAATGGGGCCGACCAGCCTCAAGCGGTGCGGCTCCACATTGGCTGGCCTGTGGCGAAGCCGGCTTGCGATTTGTAGGGGTGAATAGGTGAAGCAGAGTTTTGTCCTACTAATGGCAGCCCCATAATGACCTTGAATACATACCCTCAACAAACTTCAGAAGGAGACCCTGTGCATGCGACCGTCGGTAATGTAAACCCTTCTTCATATCGAGCTCCGAGTGTGAAGGCTTTACTTTCTGGCCACAGTCGAGGTGGGGGTGAAAGGGTAGACAGGTCCAGGGCAGAAACCTGCAATGCTTACCTCAACCTACCAAAACCCACTTTATTGCAGGGTCCCTATAAATTCCATATTAGGGCTTATAATAAGAACCTACAAAAAAGTAGGTTTTGGTAGGTTAAGGTAGACTGCTTTGAGGACATCAGGTAGCCCGACAAATTACTTTGGATAGTTCTGGCAGGCCTAGGAACATTGAAACCCTACGACGAAAGGAATGCTCCTGATGCCTCGTGCTGATCTTTGGCTGTCCTGCGGGCGCCGTCTAACCGCTTTGCGCTGGTAATACGGGCACCCTTCCAGCGCCGCACTCGCTCCAGCAAAGCTGTTGGGGTCAATGTGGCCCTCCAAGCCTGCAACCGAGCATAATCTCGGCTCGCTTCCTCTGCATGCTGCCTGAAAGGCCCAAAGCACTCGCAGGCCAGCTCTCTCAGATGGGTCCTGGCAGCAAAGCCACGACGCCCCCTCCGAACACCTCTCGGTCGACACTCTGCCAGGCCATAAATGGCCTGCCCATCTTTTGACTTTACTTTGACCGCGAAGAAATCACTCGCACCACTTCGACGGAGGCGCTTGGCTAATGCCTCCGACTCCTCCACATCTTGCGGATGCTGCTCCACGTAAGTCACCAGCTGCTTCAGTGTTGCTTGTCCGCCCAGTGCAACCATCACTTTATCCATGACATCTTGTTTGCTAGATCTTTCCACTCCCCTTAGGTCTTATATAGCGTGTTAGAACAAAAACCTGAAATCTCAAAAAGGGAACCACATTCAACAAAGCAAACTGAAATCACACCCAAGAGCAATATGGATTTGGTAGAGCGCGAAGCTTGTGCCTCCACGACTATGCCATCTGCGGTTTGCTGCAGCTCCTCCGCCACTTGCCTGATGGCCAGCCAAGCAGATGCCGATGCAGCCCCCGGAAGGTCACCACGCTTTGCCTCGAAATCGTCAAAGAGCTTCTGGAGATAACGCAGCTCCTCTTGAATGAGCTTGGGATCAAAGCCCTGGGACTGCCACGCACGGAGAGCCTTGAGCAACAGTTTCCTCGTCCGCCGCTGCAAGTTCAGGGACGGCCCGGCCTCCTCCGCACTATTGCAGGTGTCGACTTCGCCCGTGCCAGAAACTGGCTGTGCCTGCTGAGAAGCTGTGCGCGGGGGTGCAAGGGCACCCACGGCCTGAGACACTACTTCACACAGTTTTGTCTGGCAGGTGTTGCTGTCCAGATTTCCCACAACAACTGCCGCTTCCTCCAAGCACTTGGACTTCTCTTCAAGCCGCATGTTCGCCCACCTGTTCATGCTTCTGAAGATGGCCTCTGGACCAGAAGCGCTACCACTGGCATCCTTCTTATTCTTCTCCGACGAAGCCGCTGGAGTTGCCGGAGCTTCTTCAATCTGCGGCATGGATTCAGCACAACATCGCAAGCGTGCCAATCGCTTTTGAAGATAGCTTCGGGCCACCTGTGGGTTGCACGACTAGGACCGCATGCGGTCCCTTAAACCCTACAAGTAAACGGCAGCTCTGTCATGCGGTCTGGGGTTGTAGGGCACTGTAGGGCTCGATTGCACAAAGACTGCTCATGGAGCACAAGAATCAGGCTGCACAAATGCCAATAAACCCCCACGAGTACCTCCCATTCGTCGCGGGCTGAAGAGTAAGATCGGAGACTTCTTTGCGCTGCTGGCAGGACCAAGCGAAGGCGCGGAGGCAATGGGCCCGAACCCAACTTTCTCACGAGTTGGGCAAGGAGCCGGAGCTCAGAAACATCGGGAGTTCGACCTTCGGGTGGATAGGCCACCCATGCGGCCACATGGGCCGTGTGTTTTCTCACCTCCGCCTTCCCGAAATGTTCAGCAGCAGCTACGTACTTTCGGATGACCCGCGGCTTGTTCGCATGCTGGTGAAATTTCGCTGCATGGCGTTGGAGTCGCTTCAGCATGTTCAGGTCAAGAGCCCTATGAGTGAAACTACGCTTAGATCAGAGCATGGGGGCAAGCACAAGTTTGCTTGGCGAAGCGACACTTATGGCTGCATCTGTTGCTTGCTTCCCGTACTTCGAGCTTCCGACCACAGGGACTTCACCCACAAAGTCAGCTAAGATCCAAGATGTTGGAGCAGCTTTTGGGGAATCAGGACAACCAGCCTCCGTTATACCATAGCCTTACTCCGGAGGCCCTGAGCATCTCTGAAGCCTGGCCACGACACGAAAGAAAACAACATCCCCAAAACTCCTCCTCCTGAGACATCCTTAGACTGTAGCTTCGCTGTAGATCCTAAGAATCCAGACCATAAACATTGCCCCCTGAAGCATGTACACCCCACAGATGCCCATGAGAATCCCTCTGAGCCAAGACTGTAGCGAGAGCGCCTCCGGGATGAGCCAGAGGGAGCCGTTTCCTTTCGCCGCTTTTTTATGGCGTGGAAGTCATAGATACTCTTCGAAATCAGTGTATATGAAAGTTAGTATAGTGTCTATCAAACTCCACCATGTTCCAGAACTCTATATATTAGAGAATAGTCTACTTTCTAATAAATGTAAATAGAGCATGCTCTACTATACACTGTGGTCTACGGCTTTGTGTGGAGCTTGGGGATTTCGGGTTCTGGGTTTCTGGGTTCAGGGCTGTACGCTCAGGGTGGTTTTGGGTTTAGGGTTTAGGGCTTGGGGGCCTACATATTTTGCTCCACAGGTAACTAAGAGCCCAAGACAGCACCCACACATATCCTTGTCTAACGTATTCTCCCTGTACGGCTGTAGGCGTCAACAGTTTGTCTTAAGCTGCTTTACGTCCCTAAACTTACCGAGTGGAACGCACGAGAGCAAATGCCGGGACCAAGGTCACAGACCCTGAAATTCAACCCTGAAGCCCTCATGCCTGTGAACATCTCCTTGCCTGAACTCCTAAGGCCGTAGAGCCTGTCAACTTCTCCCCAACAAGGCGCCCAAAGAGTACCTGTAACCTCAACCCCTATTCAATGGTATCTTATAAACTCTCATCTACAAGCTACATCCACACACCCTAAGCCCCTTAGAGCAGTAGGTAGGTAAGTGGGACCAAAACAGCCCTGCTGTAACGGGCAACAACAACGGTAGGTGACCCTAAGCCCTAAAGCCTAAACCCTGAGCCCTAAAGCCTATCGACCCAAAAACCCTAAACCCTAAACCCTAAACCCTAAACCCTGAGCCCTAAAGCCTATAGACCCAAAAAAACACCTAAAACCCCAAAACCCTGAGCCCCACGGGGGCGGAGTCTCGGTTTCCGACGGCCGGTCACCGCCGAGGGCCAGTCAGGGATGGGCTCGATACCCACAGTGCACTCTTGGCCTAAACCCTAAACCCTAAACCCTAAACCCTAAACCCTAAACCCTAGGGCTTTGAGATTGGTTTAGAGCTTTGGTTTAGGGTTGAGTCTTTTCTTGGGTTAGACTTCAGCCGTAGGCCTTCAGCATTTTGGGGTGGGGCGTTCTCTGTAGCGTTTAGACCCAACGTCTAGGCTGCAGAGGGGAGGGCTTGCCTTGGGCCTGAAGCTACGATCACCGTTTTCTGTAGGATATTCCGAGTATAATAAGCTTTCAAAATTACATACATAGAATCTATAAGGACCTTACACGGAGTAAGTAATAGTAGCAATTAAGGTAGGGGGAAGGGAACACGGATGCGCAGGTGCTGCAGCGTGTTGGCAAAGCTACAGTGGTTTCTGCATAAAGGTAGAAACTGCTAGAAGAGTTCTAGTTCAGACTGTAGTGTGGAGCCAGAAAACGCCCCGCCCTTGTCCGGAAGAAAAAGTAAGGTATTTCTGTCGTTGGAAGAAGATCATATTCAACATAACGAATCCCTGAACCCTGAACCCTTGTCTCCAACCCCTTCACCCTGTACCGAAACAAGATCCGAAATCGTCGTTCAGGAATTTGTAGGCAGGAATCACCTGAATTTCCCTTTGAAACCCGCATCCACCCTCTGCGTTCCCGGCCCAGTGTGCAGACGAAATCCTGCCGGAAGAGTGAGTCGAAACCCTAAACCCCTAAACCCTACAGCCTGAGAGCCCTGCACCGATTGAAAGGTACACCTCAAACAGTCACGGGAACCCTGTCAACAGAAACCCTAAGACCTAAAACCTTAGACCCCATAGTCAGTAGGGCTCTTCAGGAAACAAAACCAAGCCCCACCCCAGCCTCAGATCGCCGAACCTGACAATACCTCTATTGGGGCTTGGGAGAAAAATGGAGGAATCAGCTAACCTCATACTCCACATGTCCTCAACTTTGACACCTACACCCTTAACCCAAAAGCGAGGTCCTTCGGAACAGGCCCCGCCAAACATGCATCTGACTCAGGCGCGATGGACAAGACCTGGAGTCCGATCTACCCGCAGGCCCCATAGTAGTTCCTTGTTGGGGTTCATACTTAGAATCCTATAAGGTACTCCCAAAAAGGAACTACTATGGCTATGGGGCCTATGGATACAGCGCGGGGTAAGATGGCATTCCCCTCAGCCTTGCCTGAGAACCAACATCGCCAAGTTGGGGTTGCTACGATGCTACGACTCTAATATAGGGGCCTGAATAACTAGACTAGGGTTTTGGGGCCCATTATACTATAATTACAATTTACAATAAGCAACCCCCCAAACATAGTATTGGTATGTAATTTTTAGGGCCCCCTACATGACATGTTGTGCCGTTGATCACGAGGTGACTCCCTGAAAAGAACCCTGTTCGAGGATGGCTTGCTTCTGATGACTTGGAACTGCCGGAGCGCTTCTGGCTGAAGAGAAAGAAACGTCTAGGGGTTTAGGGTTTAGGGTTTAGGGTTTAGGGTATAGTCTCCACTGTAGTTCCTTTTTTGGGTTTAACCAATTATATAATTGTACATTAAGGAATTCATAAGGTATCCCCAAAAAGGAACTACAATGGAGACTCTAGGTAGTATAGGGGCCTAAAGAATTACCAAGACTATTTTTTGTTTTTTTTTTGGAGGGGGGGTCCTTACTATAATGTAATGGGCCCAAAAACGCGGTTGTTGGCTAGTCCGGCCCCTACATTAAGCAGGGTATGCAACAGATAGCCGATGGCCTATGAGCCTGCGAGCTTTACAAAGTAGGACACCCTAGAAGATAATATCACAGACTACCCTAAGAACCCAAAACCCACTTTTTGGTAGGTTCTTATTATAAACCCTAATATGGGATTTCTAGGGACCCTACAAAAAAGTAGGTTTTGGGTTCTTACAGTACATGTTCCTCTGCTCAGGGGCCCAAAGCCCAACCGAGTCAGAGGCTTCTGCAGCATAGGCTGGAAAAGCCTCGGACCATGGCAGTGCCAAGGTTTGTTGACACTTTGGCACAGGTTTGGGTTTAGGGTTTAGGGTTTAGGGTTTAGGGTTTAGGGTTTAGGGTTTAGGGTTTAGGGTTTAGGGTGTAGGGTTTAGGGACCATGGCAGTGCCAAGGTTTGTTGACACTTTGGGCAGTCGGATCTACTTGGCTCAGGGCTGCGGCATCGTGTCTACCGGTAGAGTTGAAACGATAGATGGGCGGCCGGGGATCCAGGTCCAAAGCCCTGAGATGCAGAATAACCCGAAGGACTTGAACTCGAAACTTAAAACGCTCGATAAGCCCTAGAGTCCTAGAAAATAGCATGCGCATGAACAAGTGAGAGGTCTTCGTCCGACTTCCCCAAAACAGGTTCTTCTTGATCCTTCTCGTCATATTTTTTATCTGATGGCTGATAGCCCCATCAAATCATATCACCCCTGTATGTGGAAAAGCCGTGTGTCCAGGGCCACCACGTAGATGGAACCGCTGGGGGACAGCACCGCGCCAGTGAACTTGCGCTCGCCCGGAAGCGTAAAGCCCAGAAGGACCTGTTTCAGATGTTACATGATCCCGAATATTTCAGCCTTGGGGTTTGCAGCTTGGAGTGCAGTCCCTTCAATATACTAGCCGTATAGTATAGTCCCTTGTCCTCGGAACCCTTCGACTACCCTGTGACAGTACGTCTTTCAAAGGTCCTATCTGAACCCTGCAACACGGGCCTAAACTTAGCTCCGCAAGTCAAAACCCGAAAGCTGTACATCTGTTGCAGCCGTTGTTCTCTTGCTGCAAGGAGCTGCTGTGAATATAAACACAAAGTTGCGCCCGAAGCAGGACTAAGAAATTCAACCCAAGCCCGGAAGGGACACAACAGCCGGCCTCTTCCACGATGTCCTGCCCAAAGGGAACAAGAATTTTAATTAGCAGCAAGCAAGGCCATTGCTAAAGAAAGAACCGCTCCCTACGCTCAAAAATGCAGACCGGACGCCGTGCCGGACGCGTTCGGCGTGATCTTGAGCACCCGCTCGGCACTGTCAGGGATGGCCTCGAGAAGTCGAAGCCAAAAACTTGGAGCAGGGCTTACCCATAGGCCCCATAGTGGTTCCTCTTTGGGATTCCCTAATCCCTCATAGAATCCTGAAAGAAAAGCCACAAAAAGGGAACTATGGGGCCTATGGGTAGGGCTTAACATTCAAAAGGAGGCAGTACCGATTGGGACAGGTTTTGGCTTTTGGAGGGGCCGGATGCTAAAGTAATGCATGATACGCAGCTCTCTAACCCCGTATCCGGGATGTTTCGAAGTATTCCCAATGATCCAGTGAGAACCGTGGCAATTCCCTCGACATCCCTAGCAAGTGATCGATAGTTGAAGGATCATGGGACTTAGTAAGTAAGGATATAAGTCCCTTTATTGGGGTTATAAAGTATAGTTACCTTAGTTATAACCCTACTTACTAAGTCCCATGATCCTTTAAGTAGATCTCTGCCATGGGCGGAGTATTTGGGCCAAAGGCTTTCAACACTGCACTACCTCCAACTTCAGCATGTGGGGCTTGGGGATCCGGATGAGCATACTGTGACTGTACATATGTAAACATCCTTCAGAAGAAGAGCGATGCGAAATTATTC